GTAGAGCATGGTCTATTTTTGATTTGATTCAACTTCTGAGTAAAGAGTCGGGTATAGAAACAGATGATCACATGTTCACACAAACACCGATCACTTTCCGAAGAATCAAATCTCCTGCCGAAGCCATTGCCAAATACGATGCTTTCAATTTCGATGGTATCACCCTTTCCTCTATGAAAGCCATTATATATTTCTTATATAATTGCCGTTTCAGATGACGACATATCTTTGGACATAATGTCTGGCATATCGTTAAAGGATTCCGAGGATATTGAGCCAAAAGAAGCCGATTCTGAAGTTAAAGGTCAACAGAATCGAGTTGAAGAGCAAACAAATGACACGATCACTAACACTGATCCTGAATCTCATGTTCAGACGGCACCCCACGGACAACTCACACAACAGCAACAAGGTACAAATGCATGATAAGATTACATAAGCATTTTCTTAATTATTTGATTTTTACAATTTAGACGACCGGAGCAAAAGGGAATGGGAGGCCGGAAGGATCGATTGGATGGGCGCTCACCAGTCCGACCGCATTATTGATAGGCTTAAGAGACTCATTAATGACTAAATTTGCGCATAGTTTGGCGTTTGGACTAAATTTTATCATAACTAATCAATTATTTCTAGTATCATATTTTATTAACAATAACTTTATTTTAAAATTTATACCAATTTGTTTTTATAAGTTTATGCAACTTTTTTGTAGAATTTTAGATAAATGAATAGTTTATTCACAACTTTTGATCTAAAATAAAGTTTTTAAGAAAAGATTTTGTGCTTAAAGTTTTGGTTGATTTTAATGTAAGCCCATTATGTGGACAACAATTCTTATGCTACTTCTAGAGCACACCATAAGATAATCACTTTTGTATGAATTACTGATTGAATGCGACTTTCATTTACCGATAGTTATTAATAATAACTTATTATTAAATTATTATTTAAAAAGTTTGCATTCATTTCATGTCTGATGACTGGATTTGTTAATCTCTAACAATAAATAATTGAATTAACGGCAAAAACAATGCTTACAAAACATTATAAATGGGTTTATTTTTATACATTAAATAAAAGATTGTGTTTTGAAACCAACAAGTTTTGAATTTTTTTGAACAAAGTTTCGAAATTATTGCAAATTCTCTGTAGGTTTATGCGGTTTATCCTGAATTAGATTCAAAAATCGCTATACAGTTGTCCTTCACAGCTATCACCCAAACGGTTCCAACAATGCTATCAACACTTGACAACCACAACCATAAACCTCAACCAACAACTAATCCACACAATAGTCGCTGGACATCCCTTCAGACGACCCAAAGTAAGCTAAAGTCATGTTTTCTCTTCACTGGAGTCGCCATCCGAAGCCCACAATGAGTTCAATGAGTGAATAGGTCTTAAGATCGCACCTCATCCTCATGTCCGGCAAATCAATGAGTAATTTCTTATTCAAAATATCCC